GGCAAGGCTGTAGTTGGACCGGCTCTTGTTGCGGTTTAGAGGCTTGTTATTTAAGGCACTGGTTTCAGCCCTATCCCTCGCCGCCGAGGGACCCGGCGCGGTGTATGGACGATTATATGAGCCCAGCGAGCGCTGTGAGTCATTCGGTAAACCACCTGGGATCGACAGGCCGACTGGGATTGGTGGAACGGGAGGGATTTCTGTGTTTGAATCAACGCGATTCTGGGATGGCGCACTCGGGGATTCATCGGTTGGGGCTTCATCGCCTGATAGGACAAATGCCGCGGCCGAAGCGCGGGGTGTGTCTGTTCCATCTTCCTCGGGTGTCTGTTGACTCTCTGGTTGTATTGAGGTAGCATCTCCGTCTATCTCGGAAACAGAGAAGTTGCCGCTGACCATGCTATCGCTCCCGGAAGAAATAACACTAGCATTCGATGCGTCAAGTCGTCCACGTAATGGACTAAGGCGTCGAGCATGGTCGTCGTTAGTAACTGAGAGCACGCGTCGAAGCTCATTAACGCGAACGGGAGAGCCTCTGCTCGAGCCGTGGGATGATGAGCCTGATATCTCTGGAACGCTCATACGGCGGGGAAATTGAGAGCCGGCGGGTGAGCCATTTGTAGCCCCGTTGGTTTGGGTCTGATTGTTGCGAGCATTTTGAGTAGCCCGAGAGCCATTGATCGATGGCGTTCCAGTGCTTTCCTTATCGACAGCTGCCAGGCACGCCTCGCGAGACCACGGAGACAACATCTGTTCTTTTACGACAGACGGGAGGCCACTCTCAACCTGGGATGTCACTGCTCCTGTGGGGTGCCCAAGGACCGGGAATGTGAATCCTCGCGCGGGAGAAGAAGCCGAGGGGCTCTGTGGAGGAGACGATATCGAATTGCGATAAGACTCTTCAATCAAATAGACAAGTCCGTCAACATTACGGAAGGGCGTCAGTGAAGGCGGGGAGGTGGAGTCATTGTCAGACCTCTTCTCGCTGCCAAATACAATGGCATACAGATCGACTGGGGGCAGGCGGATTTTGGAAAGCCAATATCCCTTGCCCTGTCGCTCTTGAATCTCGTTACTTATCTCAAGACCCACGGGGGAGGACTGCATTTCGAAATGCTCAGACAGCGCCAGAAGGTATCCATGTACCAAGCTTCCAATATTAACGCGAGCTGCGACGGAACTCAGATCTATAGATGTAAACAAGTCGTCTTGCAATTTAAGGACCATAGGAAGACCGAATTGAGCGGCATTCACCCCGAGCTTTTCGACAAGTTTTGCAAGAAGAAGGTGCAGCAGAAGAATCTCGGCTTCCTCGGCAGCTGTCTCGAGTGCAGCATCGTAGATAGCCAGGTGCAGAAGACGGAGGAAGTTCGACTGTGCCACCAGCGCCACTTTGTCCCTCTGATTCGCAGGGGCCGAGTTACCTCGTCGATTCGATCTATCCGTCTGCTCGGTGTCTCTTTTGGGGGTTTTGATGTACTTGGGTGAATCCAATCTGACCTTGAGGTCATTCCCATTCGTCTCAATCTGCAGCCATGACAGGAATGCATCGGTGTATGCATAGCGAACATCGCGATCCGGATCACGAAGAAGTACTTGGGTTCCTTCCCACACATGGATTCCGACTGGCTGTCTAGATTCCGCACCAGACATGGTTGCTGGGGTCCTTGAGCTGGCCACAATCAAGATAGCCTTGACGGATCGCAGAGCGGTCAGTTTAGCAGTAGCATGGGAGAAGCTTTCTGTGCTTGCTTTGTCCCCATTTGTCTCGGAACCGGAGTTTGTTGACCCATTATGTACTCCAGATTCGTGAACGGTTGCCAATGTGGATGGCGCAGAACTATCATGGTGGGGATTAGGCTTGAAACGCCTAAGAATAGCACGCATCATGTCTGCGATTTGGTCACCGTAGTAGATGTGCGTTGCAAGATCTCCAATACACTGTTCCAGTAGCGTAAGAAGATCCTGTCGTCGGGGAGAGATTTGAACCACAGTGTCAATTTGTCGATTTAGTTTCTTCTCAGATTGTGCAGACCCAGTACGCTCTGGCGGTGAGAGTATATCAGAAGCATAATGCATGAGTCCAAAGAGGATGTCCATGACGCTGAGTCCAATCATGTTCACAGAAGACCTGAGAAGCCAATCGACCACGGAGAGGATGGTGAATGATGACTCTAAAGCATCCTCCTTGGGGCTTGTATCGTGGAGAATCTCCATGGCTGTGATCAAGATGATAAAACGAACTTGCACCGGGCACCAGTTCGCAATGAGTTCGATCAGAGATGTTGCCCAGTTGCCAGTTTTGCCCTTGATGATCTCAACACGCTTTTCGCTTTGTGGGAAACCCTTGCTTGCGATGAACTGTAGAATGACCGTGACTGCAATACGGATCTGGCCCCGATTGCTTCCCGAGACGATTGTTTGCTCGAGACAGCGGAGTGCCAAGAGGCGAGCGTCCAGTTCCGCCTTTCGATCCGCTTCAGCGGCTGACTGTGCTGCCAGCTCGGGGTCACCCTCTGCCGTGTCCACTGTGTGCACTGTGTTGATGCTCATTCGGCGGGGCTTGGGCGCCTCACGTTCAGTCGGATCAGATTCGGTTAGCTTGGCCTTCAATGTCATAAGAAGATCTTCATCTTCGGAATAGAGGTTCTTCAGTATAACCGGCAAACAGAGCTTCAGCGACACTCCTCCATCGGCGGCCAGGGTCTCTGAGCTGACCACAGCTCTAATAGCTCGCAGTCCCGCATTTCTCCATCGGATGGCCACCTGCGGGCTAAGAGGTGCGTTCGAGTTGGATGTAAATTCCGGGTCGGCAAGGGTGGTGTAAGTTCGCACGACTTCTCGGTATTGTTGTGCGAGGCCCTGGTCAGCCGCAATGGCTGCAATGTCCTGGTACCGACAGAACATCTCGAAGGTGACAATCGATTCCTCTACCATATTTATATCATTGGATCGGAGAACGGTATCGATTACTGTCATGACGGATCGGGCGTAGATAGGAAGGTCGCGGGGAACTTTTTCAATGAGGGCAGCCAGGATATGCAGCGCCACCTGAACATTCCTGTGCAATGAGATCGGTCAGCCATTCATCTTATCAAGTCCGATGATTGGGGCGATCATAGTTTGTGCTCACCCTATTCTGCGTCTCCAGACATCCCGGGCAACTCTTTTCTCCAGGAAACCGCCGACCTTGGTCAGTTTGCTGCGGCGCGTGCTCGTATAATACAGCAGGTAAGAGAGTTCACTGGGATTCGGCCGGACCTCCGACACCCCCTTTTGGTATTTTGGATAACATTTCAATGTCAAGACCTGGTGCTTTGGCCGACAAGACTGGCGAACGGACTCCATTGGAAACGTAATGGCATATGCAGTTTCCAAGTGAGGGGTCCACGAAAGAGTGCGACGGACTTCTTATGTGAGGAAAATAAATTGGAGACAAGCCGAAGTGCTTGAGGACGGACTAGTTGAGGGCCATGGGAAAGACGTTGATGTCCGGCGCAACGTGGACCAGTTGACGATAACGGGGTTGAGGGTAGTAGTTCAGGGCCGATTACCAGGGGGTGGGGCTCTGTTCAACGTTGTAACCGGAGTCTGAAAAAAGGCACAATCTTCAAAATGAACTTTGTATTGAGTAAACAACGAATGAAATTTGAAAAGGGGAGATGATTGAAGAAGGGGAAAAAAAAAGAATAAGATTGGGCTCTCGGGATCTTCGGGCGCATTCTATACATTCACTTGGTGTAGGTGTCTAGTCTTACATATATGTCTGTATATTATAAGTCCTTTGGAGCTTCAAATGTTAATTCTTTTGGTATTTTTTCATATTCTGCTTCACATTGCAAATGATTTGCTCAATTTGAGATAATAATGCTAATTGTAATTGCCACGGCCACCTTTGTTGCCCAGAGGGGTGGCGATAACCCCAAAATGACATAGCGTCTTCAGGTATATCATAGGCACAATAGTACAGGAGAGAATTTCCCACCTGGTTCTTTCCCCCGCAATTCTCTGCCACTGTCGTCAGAGCGAAAAGTCGGGGGCGATCGCTGGGGTGTTCGATTGACAACTCCGGGGCCTCGGGAGCCTGGGGATCCTCGGTCGCACATGAAGCGCATTCATGCAACTCCCATGCTCAACTTTGTCAAAAGCCGAGTTCGGTGGGAATGAAATCATCAAAGTGTAAAATGTCATGTACAACTTAGATCTGCCAGGGGGCACGTTTTGTTCGTATGTTTTGCAGGAAACAAGCGCATCTCGGTCGCATCGAGCGAAGGGTCAGAATTCAAGCCCCCTCACGTCTTTCCATTTTGACCATCTTCCTGCTTTTCATCTGCCGTGTCCGTCTCGGTCTGGGCTGGTTCAGGGACACTGACCCCTGCCAAACCTTCAATGACCTGGGGTAGAATAATGTCACGGCGGAAGGTGTCTTCCTGGAGCAGTCGAAGCGCTCGCAGTGTGGGGCCAGGGTGGGTGAGGAACTGAGAGTATTCGGGTGTCTTCCAGTAAGAGTAGAGGTAGGCTAGGTAGGCTGCAAATGCCTCGGCGTCTGGCGAAGAGGAATCGTCGTCATCGTCGGCACGAGAGATACCCAGAAGATTGGGATAAGTGACTGCCAGGTGCGACAGATAGTAAGGGTTGGCAAGAGATGAGACGAATTCAAGCTCGAGAGTAAAGCGCGGGTTGGTCAGGGTTGGTCGATCCTCCATGGTGGTTGATGTAGAGAAGCTTGGAGTGAAATGGCAGAAGCTGGTGAGAGCTTCAAAGGTGAGGTTTCTACGGGGAGCGATAACGTCCACTCTGGTTAAAAGGTACACAAACGTCCGAAGTATAGAAGTAGATATTTCTACCAGACTAACTTAGCACTCATCTCCTCTACCCTTGATTCATCTATGTCTTTTTAGATGTATATAAAAGCAGTAAAAAAAATCTCCCTATATATAACCTTTCATATAACTTTTAATGATACCCTTCTGCCCACCTTCTCAATCCCGACAGCCACTTCAATGTTCAATTATCTTCTCCAAAAGCCCAGCCTTCTCCAACATAGGCCTAGCACACTCTTGAGTCCAGCAAGAGACCTTCAACCGCCTCATCCCAGCTTGTGTGGAGCCAGACAAAGTCAAGGAAGTTGTCGTATACTGCTGATTCTCCGTGACTACGCACAGCGCCTCATCCCAACTACGAGGATAGTTCTCAGTAAGGGTAGTTCCTATTAGCATGAGGCTTTCTCCTGTTTCCTTGGCTTCATGAGCCATGATGGTCGCACGATCGTAGTATGGGTGGGTTCCGGCACCGTTGGAGGCAATGAAGTGAATATGGCCGAGGTCTTCGTTGGTTTTAACAAAGATTGCGGAGTCGCCTTCTGGAGGGGAGGAATCGAAGTTGTATTTGACAATGTAGACTTTGTGTCTTTGGGGCTCAGTCAAAGTGACGTTCACCATGGTGTCGGTGATGTTCTCTGTGGTATTGCTGGTATTGTTCATGGTGTAAAGTTGGCCTCAAGGGTTTCTCTTGTAGAAGGAGAGATAGAGAGCCCGATGATCAGTAAAATTGGTGATAATATCGAGAAAGATTTACACGGCGAACGTTCACTCTTAAATACCCTTTGTCTCTTGTTCTATTCTTATTTCTCTTTATATTTATCTCCAAAGAAGTCACAAAGCGCCTCTCCATTGTTTGAGGTATATTCTTGTCTCCAAGCCAACACGTACTAAGGCTTGAGTATTACTCTATCTATAGAAGCCAACTTGTAAGCCTACATATACCAATAGGTTCAATACACAAACTATATGCACAACAAACCAACAGACAAGCCTCACTATCTTAACGCATGGAACCACAGGAGCGCATCAAGATACCGTTTCTTTCCAACATTTCTTGAGCCTGGCGGCAACACAAATCTGTCTCCTCGCGAGACATGGCCACTATCATGTGTTCCCCGCCCCTCTGCGTGTCAGGCAGGTTATGCAGCAAAGAGTCCCATTTCTTGGGGTGTTTCTCGGACGGGGTGCATACAGTGTATACAGTATATACATTGAGTAGTCTCGACGAGAATTGGCCCATGGTGATGATATATGGCTGCGATCTAGGAGGAGTAGAGAACTTGGCCATGAGATAGACCTGGACATGATACACAGGTTCTCGTGGCAAATGTTACTTTAAAAATATCCTGAGAATCCTTACTAGTCTACAACATCATGATATATATGAAGTCACAGCTAGAGTATAAGCACCATTAGTTTCCATCACTAGCCCAAATAATCCGTGGACTTTAGATACAGGGCTAGTAACGACGTTTTATTTGAGATGCCATCCATAGAGAACAAGTCTCTTCAAATGGAGGGTGGAGGGGACCGAGGGCAAAACTTATGTTGGACGAAACTTATACATATGCACGATACTTGGCTTAACGGTCAGTGCGTTCAAAAAACCCCACATTTACATGTTTCATTGCTATGAAACGTACGAAATCCAACAATAAGAGTATGGTCATCGATTCCCCAATCTAAGCCATAGGCTCTACAGTGCTTATCCACCGGTAGTGTGATGATATTACACATGACTGGGTGTCATGAAATCGTAGCATGGTCACTAAATGCCAAGTCTAAGATATACATGGCTATATAGTACTCCAGATAGATAAGGGATGAAACCATGTTGGAACCAATAAGTTCAATTATCATATCCTATTCAAAGATACTGATATGGGGAACAACGATCGGGAAAAATACATATTTCTGAAAGCAAGGCTGAAATTGAGATACAAGAAGAGAATAAACCGTGAAAAACTCCGAATCATAGCCATGATCTGAAGGTGTTAAGATCAGGGCCTTGTGTTTCATGGCGGTGTGGAATTAGAAGCGTTTTGAAGCATTCTATTCCGAAATATATGAACGCCATGTTGAGCACCATGTGTTCGGTGCTCGATGCTGGGTATTAACGTGTGGAATCACCCCTCCTCATTGAGGAGTTAGATGGTGAAATGGAGAGGGAATCATGAGATTGACACATCCCGGAGGTGCACCCGAGTGAGAAAGGCCCGCTTGCTACATCGATATATTTCCAGGACAGGCTCAACGTGTGATTGTTAGGTCACTCAGTCACTGGTCCGTCTCTCCGGCTTGGGTTTGCGCAGACTCTTCATCCGGTTCAAGAACCCACCACCAGCACTAGGGTTAAGCCTCGACTCTTCGTAAGGTCGGTCGTTGGTGATCTTGCGCTCCATTTGCTTGGGACTACTAGACGATCGAACTCGGCCGCCTTCAAGACGAGCTTCGATACTCGATCCCTTCTTGTCCCACTCTTCCTCATATTCTTCTTCTTGGAAGTAGGGGTTTCTTTCGTTGGCCCGGGCGGATCCAGAATGACTGGAGCTCACCTGTGGTGCAACCGGAGGGAAGTTGTCTGTTGGAGAAGCCATGCGGCCAGGCCCAGCTCCCCGTCCACGTAGTCGCTGAGCCAAACTCTTCTTTCGTGCAAGGCCACCATTCGGTGCCAGACTGCTTTCATTCTCGCTCTGACGGCGTGCCATGGCAGATCGACTAGCTGGAGCTCCATCGAGGAAGGTGCTGGTTCCCAGTCCCATACTCTGTGGTCCATGAATCGGGTCCACCCGGGCAGTGGGATCCATAACGCCCGTCTCAGCATTGCGGCGACCAGCGGTGGAGAAGTCGTTGTGGCCTTCCTCCATCCTTCCATGGAAAAGATTGAGATCGATGTTCGAGTTGTTGGGACCTGCGCCGCCCAGAGCCATGTTGGAGGAACCTTTGGGGAAGGCTTGCATTGGCGCAGTACGCACGCCGCGGCGATTGCGGTGGGGGTTGCAGGCATCAAATGGGCCATCGTGGTGGAACACTATTAGTATAGTTAGCATATGAATCATAGACATGTAAACGAGAAAGAGGGAAAAAACAAAAAAAGCGGGCGATACTTACTTCCAGTACCGTAGATACTCGTCACATCCAATTTATCAATGATATCAAGTCGTCGGTCCTTGCGGCCCGAGCGCGATTTGCCGTCTTTGCTGCGACTCTCGCGCTCGCGATGACGCCGTTCGCGTCGGCGCTTCTCGTCATCATCAACATCCAACAACTTCGAACCTCGGTCCATTACCGAAGACTCCGAGTTCCGGCGGGGACGACGGAGCGCCTTGTCCTTGACGGTTTGGGACGAAGTAGGGGGATCGGCGAATATGTCAAGCGGGTCTTCCTCTTTCACTGCGGCCGATCGTCCTGATGGACGCTCCCTTGAAGGTCTGTTGCGATTCGAGGAAGTACGTTGGGTTGCGTCAGATGCCGTAGGCCGAGGACGATTGGCCTGGGGAGCAGGCTTGAGGGAGAGGGACTCCTGTCACGAAATTAGACTTGATTTGAACACATAGGTTCAATGCTCTCAAACCTACAAAAAGCTCTCGAGTGTTGCTCGACATATCGTTCTTCTCAATCGGAGAGATCATGCTGACGCCAGTTGACATGCCAGGGGCTGACTGCGGAGACATAGCCTCTGTGTCGTCTAAGAAGGGATTTGTGGAGCGTGGGCGTTCCGGGCGATTCGATGAAACAGATCCAGCAACTGAGGGCGAAAGAGCGCGATTTCGGAAGGGGTTATTAGAGCCAAAACTGGCTGCTGTTGGAGAAGCTTGGTGTTCTGTTGGTCGTAGCGATGCTTTCAATCAGCCACGGGTCTTAAAAAGATGTAGATTTTGGACCCGAAAGTCCAGGGAAGGTGTCATTTTAAGGATCAGGGGGTCCAACCATCCCCAGCGGTAACGCATAAGATTCAGTCATTTGGGAAGGTCCTTCAGGTTACGTACCTTGCGGGGCCAGCGAGATGCCAGGCGCATAACCAAGCGCTGGAGTGGCATTCATTGTGAAGGATAATTCGCCTCTGAAACAAGGTGTGGGTGGAGAGGCCGTTTGCGTTCAATGAGATGCCGCGTTAGGTGTCGCACGAATGCGGAAGAAAGTGGCAGGAGGCCTTGCTGAAACAGTGATAATCAGGGGTAAAACGATATAGACGATCAGAGTGGAAGGACAATAATCAGGGTATAACAAAAATCAAAGACAAAGAGAGATAAAAGAGAAAACAGAAAAAAAAAAAGAAGTCTTAAGGGAAGAAAGGAGGGGGGCAAGGGGAAGAGGGAACACGGGAGAGGCGAGCATACGTAAAATGCCCAGTGATCGTCTCCTTGGGGAAGAACTTGTTCTCTTTTACTTGACTTTTGTATGGGCCCTGTCGATCTTTCGATTTCTTTCTTCTCTTTTTGTTTTACATCTGCTGTCTATCCTATGTTATGCCTGGTCTACTTTTTTTTTTTTTTGAAGAAATCCCCAGACTGGTTAGAATATACTAGCCTCAGGGGCCAATTTAAATCCTAAGACTCCACATTGATAATCCGTGACAGTTGAAAGGTACATACGTATGTACTCCGTACTAAGTTTTAGTTATCTATGGATGTACAGTGAATTCGAACATCCAACATCCAACATCCAGCGACATCCAGAGACATCCCAGCTTATCAGGTACATAAAGGGGGAAAGATTCCTCGATTACCAAGAACACCCGGAATGACGTTGGCATTCCAGATTGATGTCATCTTCTATTTCTGGAATGTGAACAGATAGGTTACTTTCGATGTCTCTACATCTCTTACATGTTCTAGAGGGATCCAGAGTAGCCAATCTGCCGAGAGAGAGAGGAGGCCTTTGAATGGAGTACCAGCAGTTCCTGTGGATACTACGGAGTAATAGAAGGTTGGTTATGGTCAATGGCTGGTGCCTGGTACCTGTATATGACCAATTCAAATGATACCTCCATTGCATATAACATCTCGAATTTCGGATATTATACACTCTCCAGACAGCTTAGCTGGTATCGAGTATGCGAAGAAGTACTCGGTACTCGGTAGTTACTCCGTACTCCGTTGTATGTAACTAACTACATAGATATCGAACATTCCTCGGCTTGGAATGCGATCTTAGATAAGGTCATACCCCGAAGAAATATATATCAATTGAACTATCTAGCAACTACCGAGTAACTATATTGTTCAGATTGGACGTAAATTATGTAGATATACAGGGTATATACTCAACCCTAGCTCCAATGGAATATCTCAAGATGACCATCACTACGTTGTACTGCCGCGTGTCACCCCGACCCGCAGCCCTAGGGCTTAACGTAAGATCGGGCTGTGCCCGGATGTGGACGGAGATGTCTATTTTAGTCTACAAAGTAGGATATCTAATGTACGTATGTAAAAGTTATGTGTGAAAAAAAAGGAAAGATAAGTGTTGGGTGTTGTAACAAATCAGATATATATAGATAGGCCTATCGATATGTGTAGATGTGATTATAACTCAAAATGCCCTGTTATAGAGTGGCAAGAAGCGAGTTTAACCTGGCGTGTGCTTTCAGAAAACTACAGAGAGCTAATGCTGGACAGTGCAGCCTGCTTGCTACATTACAATTCAAGTTGACCTCAAATATGTAAACTCGAAATATCATTCATTGGTTTTCCATTCATTACCGTATCATGGCCCAATTCAAGAACGGAACCCCTGTCATAAACGCCACACACATAAAATGCAAACAAGATGGTATAAGACACAAAAAAGAAACCATGCAACTGGGGCACCCCCAGCCCTCCTTTTTAGAAGGCTGTTCAATGGGCGGTGGACTGAGCTCGTGGCAGGTGAGGGTTCGAGACGGGGATACCCGCACGACGCTTGGACTGGGGTTTGGGTCTGGAGAGGGTATATCTGGGAGGTAGGTATTAGTACAAGATTGTAATAGATTCAAGGTTCAAAAGAAACATAGAACATACTTGGCAAATGCACGCGAGAGTGCCTTCTTACAGCTGACCTTTTGGCTGCCAATGAACGAATCCACAGTAACAGCGATGGCACGGTCAATATCCAGCGAGGAGCAGTACTCCGACAAGCGCATCTTGCAGAAAGATTCTGCGATACGCATGATGGCTTCAAGGTGACGAACCTGGAAATTTGGAGTAAGAAAATTGTCAATGTATGGAAAGTAGAAAGATAACTTACTGTGATGGGGTA